TTATTATCAGACCAAGATCTTCTTCCTCGAGTGCTTGTTCACAGATAGCTTCACTATACAGATTAAATAAAAGTGGCGATAAGATACATCCCTGCCGGACTCCTCGACAGATTTGAATTTCTTCTGTTAGTCTGCCCTCAACCTTAACATTTGCTGTTTGATTCCAATATAGATTGCATATAATTCGAATATCTCGGCTGTCTATATTTTTCTTTATTAGAACTTGTCTTAGTGGTTCATGTTGTACTTTGTCAAAGGCCTTTTCGAAATCAATAAAGCAGGCGTAAATTTCTTGGTTCATGTCTAAGCATCTCTGTGAGAGAACGTTCATTGCAAACAGAGCCTCCCTTGTACCCAGCCCTTTTCTGAATCCCATCTGAGTGTTACTGATGTCTACGTCTAATTTCCTATAGATCCTATTATGGATTATTTTTAAGAACAGTTTTAGAGCATGACTCATCAAAGCTATCGTACGATATTCGTTGCATTCCTTTGTATTTGCCTTTTTTGGCAGTAGTATAAAGGTCGAACGGAGCCATTCTCTAGGTATTATTCCAGTTCTATATATTGTGTTAAATAGATCTAGGAGTATTTTAATAGATTCATCGTCCATAAGTTTGAGCAGTTCTACGGGAATTTCATCAGGACCGGGGGCCTTACCACTTTTTGCTTGTTTGATTGCATATTCTATTTCTTCTCTGATTATATCAGGCCCTGTATCATCTGTATATTCGTTTGAGATTTCTTGTCTATCTTTGTCATCAAACAGTTGTGATATGTATTCTGTCCATCGGTTCATTTTTTGTTGTAAATCTGTTATAATTATACCATCTGTATCTCTGATCTGTCCTGTCTGTGTTGTTCTTCTCCTTCCTGTCATTTCTTTAATCTTTTTGTGTACATTAAAAAAGTCATATTTTCGCTCCAATTGTTCCAACTCATGGCATTGCTCACTTAGCCATCTTTCTCTAGCTTCTCTTATTTTCTTTTTTATCAGTTTATCTGTTTCTTTGTATCTTATCGGATTATTTGTTTTGTGTACCCTTCTTTCACGCATCAACTGTAGTATTTCCTCATTCATCCATTCTTTATGTTTCCTTTCTTTCGGTGTTAAATTTTCTCTCCCTGTCAACATTACGGCCTGTTTAATATTCTCCCATTTTTGGTCTATGTTATCAGTATTTCTATTCAGTTTCTCTATATTTTGTAAATTTTCTTTGATGTTCACTATTGTTTTCTCTTTTATATGTTGTTCATTCAATCTTCTCACGTCAATTTGTTTCTGTATGTGTTTTTTAATGATCTTTAGTTTTATTCTTAATGTGACTACTACAGGATTATGATCCGAGCCTATGTCTGCTCCTGGGTAGGTTTTAGCTGAGAGTATAGAGTTGCGGAATCTTTGACTAACAAGGAAAAAGTCAATTTGGTTTCTGACTACTCTACCTTTGGTGTCACTCGGAGATTTCCATGTGTACAGTCGTCTGTTAGGTAACTTAAAAAGAGTGTTAGCAACTACTAACTCCTCCGCTTGACAAAATTGTACCATACGGTCTCCTCGTTCGTTTCGTTCTCCTAATCCATAGTCACCCACATAACCGTCCACACATCCATGTCCAATTTTGGCATTAAAATCGCCCATTACTACTGTAGTATGATGTTTCTTCATTGATTTTAGAATTTGTTCCAGATCGTAATAGAAACTTTCAATTTTATCATCATCTTTATCAGCCGTAGGAGCATATACTTGTATAATATTTATAATTTGTTTATTTGACTGAAGTTGTAGTGTCATTATTCTATCAGAGAAGGGAGTAAAGCTTGTTACACAGTTACTAATTTTCTTTGATACCAAGACAGCGACACCGTAACGATGAGTTGAACTGATAGTGCCTGAATAATAAAGTGTTCCACTGTACACGGTTGTACAGTGGAACGGATGTGTACGGCTTCGGGCGGATGAGTTGGTAAGTGACAGGGCACTCTTTTGTCCTAGTATAATCATGATGGCAAATGTCACATCAATCACTCATGTTACTGATCATGGACCTCGGAACCCAAGATCCGGCAGGAGAGGAAAACCACAGACAGACCATAGGGCCTCTCGGGTCGTGAACCAGCGAAATCCCTGTGTAAGTAATATCAATCACCTTAAGATATTAAGAATGGCGACGTGGAATGTAAGAAGCCTCTTTGCAGCAGGTAAATTAAATAATGTAGCCCTTGAAATGGAAAACCTTAAAATTGATGTCCTAGGTATAAGTGATGTACAGTGGCCAGGATCAGGAAAATGCACGAATCACAGTGGAACACTTTATTACAATATTTACTTGCAAATTATTACAGAAAATATTTCATTTTTTAACTTGCATGCAGTCCGTTAGAAATGGTTCATAGTTGTAGTTTCTATAAAATACTTTAGTTTTTGGGCCAAAACAAAGTAGGATTTACAAAAATAGATTAGAACGATATTAGGCACAATTTTAGTACCTAGCTAATCTAATTCTAGTCCAATGGGCCGTAATTACGAATGTTGGTGGTTTTTTCAATTCAACTTTTTGTTCTTTAATATCAAAAATGACTAAATAAAAGTAATATATTTCTTTAAACAAATATTAACAAAAAGTCTATCAAATTCCGTCCCATACTTTTTTTCTATAAAAGTAAAAAAGGAAGTTTACAACTATGAAAGACAGGGGGATATTTCTAACGGTAGAAAATTGAAATTGTTCCCAAAAAAATATTATTTATTTTTGTAACTTACTCAAGTTAAAATATATAGTTTGACAATTAATTAATTACAAAAAAATATTAAAATAAGTTTATTTTTTTCTGGACGTTATTAGATTTTATTATATTTGACATGTGCTCTAGTTTCGGCCTAACCCAAATTTAGTCAGACACGGTATTTACAAAAAAGACTCAATTATTCACGTCATAAATAATAAAGTCAATTCGAACAAAAAAATATTCACAAGATTTACTAGATCGGACCCTAAACGACATGAAAACTGGCATGTTTACCCATAAAGCATCCAAGATGTATTGTATACCAAAAAATATATTGAAAGATAAAGGAATACAAGTGCTCGAAAATATTGAAAGACGACCAGTTTTAACTAGTGGTGAGAAAAAACTAATCGTAAAATAATTAATATCGTAAATATTCGTTATTGTTTTTGGCTGGAAGATATTGATGAAGGCATCTCAATGAATGGAGTCAGGCCTAATAATCTGGGGTATGCAGATGATACCTAATCATCACAGCTATTTTCACTTTTGAGATTGCAGCTCTGAACAAGTCGACGGAACTGCAATTATACCACTTTCTCAGATTGTTGAGCCAGGAGATGCGTCTTCTTCCAATACTTCGTTTTCCTTGCATTATGGTTTGTAGCAACACATATGTATCCCCTCTCATAACGTGGCCGAGATACTGTAACTTTCTTATCTTAATCGTATTCATGATTTCCATTTCCTTTGTCATCTTTCTGAGGACCTCAACATTTGTTATTCGGTCTACCCAACTTATTTTTAATATTCCTCGGTACCTCGGTAGGTCCACATCTCGAATGCTTAGTCGCTCGCTCACCTCTTTCTTTAAGGTCCAGGCCTCCACCCCATACAGCAGCACCGAAAACACATAAGAACGTTATATTTTAAATTTGAGTTGTAAACTAAGGTCTCTACTGCATAATACTTTTCTCATCTTATTAAATGTTGCTCTAGCTTGTCCAATTCTCATTTTTATTTCTTCACTGTACGCGGACATAGTTTTTTACCCATCGACTGTGATTTTGAAAAAGCAGTTGCGAAAAAAACCCATAATTTTAATTTAACAGAAATACCATGACATCTACAGTAGTATAGGCAAGGTAAGAGCACTAAGAGAAGATTGCCACTTCTTGATAATAAGAAGCTATGTGAATACTATAAGAATATCCAATCAAAAGATGAACTGAAAAGAATTGAAATTTGCTACCGGACTCAAGAAGAAATTGAACACCTCCGAAAAAGGGCAATCTTACAAAAATATTGTGTTGGTAAGAGGTTTAAAAAACTCAACTATGAAGGAAAAGAGTCTTATATCCTTGAGAAAGGAAATAATTAGACAAGTGAGACTGAAAAAACTCGCAGTACTCCATGTGTTTATCAAAGATTAGACAAAGATGTTTACAAATTTTTGACAAAAATGTTTTTCTGACCCACGGCTTGGCTAGTACAAAAATTTTGAGTTTTGATAGACCCCCTACAGCAGCTGGTGGTGTGGAGCGTGCAGTAATAAGTGACTGTCTCAACAATGAGCGCTGTGACTTCCATATTAAAAAACTGTTCATCTTATGTCCACAACATTTTACATCAAAACGACCTATTTCCACTGAGTTAGTGCAAAAGGTCTTATTGGCAAAACAAAATCACTGTTTTAGCTACCCTAACTAAAATAAGTGCTTTAATCTCATGTTTGGAACCAATACTATTGCATAACATTGATTAGAACTCATCATCCCTTTTCAGAGTAAAACTATAAGTTTTTTGCCCACCCTGAAAAATTACTTATTTGTGAATTGAGCTCGATTGCATTTTACCTTCTCAAGTACGATAAAACAACAAAGATGTTGCAACCTCGCAGCCACACCACATTTTGCCTTTGGCTTACGACGTTTTCTTGTTTACTTTTGCCCACTTTGGAATTGATGTTGTCATTATAATTGTAATGTATTTATATTTAAGTAGATTTGGCACTAGCTTGATACCTATATTATTTTTTCTTAATTACTTTTACCATTTTACCATTTTTTTTTTGTTGTGACAGAAATCATTACAAAACTTTACTAGTATTTTAAAATTTGCATAATAATCGTTCACCATATAATATAAATACAGAAATACTCTACATTCGAGACAGTCAAGAAGACAAGATTTTACTTTTTGCCAAAGTTTCTATTTACTTTTAAAATTAACGATGATTTTCTTTACTGGGTATAATAAAAAACAGAACACTTTTTAAAAAACACTAAATATATTTACAAAAACAATTATCACATTAATGCATTTCATTGTACTTCAATTACGAAACTCCTCTTCAGTTTCTGCTAGCGCTAATTTCATGTCAACTGTGTTGATCGAATCAGCCTCGAAGTAGGTTACCAGACTGGCGAGGAACGCGTGCCCCAAAAACAAGTAAAACGTCACATTCTTGATCGGTTTGAACACTTTTGCTATAACCTGGAACGCTTTTCGTGGTTCTTTCGTTATATAAGGCATGTCGTATGTGTGGTATCGATGGACTAGCTAAAACAGAAACAAAACTATGCAATGCCCGTATAAAATCTTTTTGTATATTTTTAAATAAAAATACAAATATAAAAACCACCTGTGAGTCAAATACGAAAGTTAAATATTGGATAAAGGAATGGATAACAAATTTTTTGAAGCGAAGCTTCTATACTGACGTATTTTACTTTTTTCGCTATAGTGAAATACTGAAACAAGCGTCACGGATTAGTGCCACAAGATGGCGCCATCACTCTCGATCAATTCATTTCTAGTTAGCATATATTTATTCTAAGCAGGTATAAAATAAAAACATTAAATGGAAAGTACAAAATTAAAAGTATATCTGTCAATAAAATATAGTAAAACACGCTGAAAAACAAAAGATCGATACTAAAATTCAGATAACGTAAAAAATAATTTTCAAAACATTGTACTGAAAGACCTTAAAATATTTTTCAGTCAGATGGCGCCATACTATGACCAATAAAGAAGCTATGATTAACCAAATAAATAGAGTTTATCTATGTCTATCACCATTATTTTGAAAGCCAGTGGCCAAAATTCTGGAAACTTTACAAAAATTTTAGTTTTGTCAGAATTCCTCTTTTTCACAAGACTTATGTTATTTATTATAATTTTATTGCATCGTTTTATGCTTCTACTTAATATTTAACGTCTATTGGAAGAAGAAAAACCTTTTAAAAATTAAAAAATAAATAAAACAACAGCCGTTAGCTATTAGTATATTTAAAAAAAATGGAACAATGGTTATTATCAAGAAAATTAGTATTTGATTATACACATATATAATACAGATGGAATACTAGTGGTGACATTATGCACCCCTGTTTCACTCCCCTTAAGATTTTGACCTGATCTGTATATTCTCCATCAATTCGGACAACCGCTGATTGATTCCAATACAGGTTAGCTATTATTTTTAGGCTCTTCCGTCAATCCCTGTCCTCTTCAGCACTTCCATCATTTGTTCATGCCTGACTCTATCGAAAGCATTCTTGTAGTCAATCAGACATGCAAAAACATTACAGCTGACATCTCTACATTTCTGAAACAATACCTGCACGCTAAATAAAGCTTTCGTCGTACCAACGGCGTTCACAAATCCAAACTGATTGGGCGCAATGTGTTCCTCGCATTTTCGGTAAATTTTTTGTGGATGACTTAAAAACAGCTTCAGCAGATGGCTCATTGGGCTTACGGTCCTATAGCCTTCACAAACTTTTGCTCCTGGTTTTTGGGCAATGGTACGAACTCCGATTTGAGCCACTCTACTGATATTTTTCCTGCCTTGTATATTTCATTACATATTTCAGTTACTATTTTTATTTGTTCTGCATCTAAAAGCTTCAGCGGTTCTGCAGGAATTTCATCAAGTCCCGGTGCCTTTCCATCCCTCATTTGTCTGACGACTGCCGTTATTTCTTCTGGTAGGATTTCGGGACCTGAGTTTTCTTCGATGATGGGCTCTTATATTGTTCTACAGTCATGGAGAAGTTTCTCTAAGTTTTCTTCCCATACTTCCTTTTTATATTCTTTGGTTATGGCAAGATTGCCCTCATTATCTGTTATTTTTCCGCTGTTGAGTTTTCGGAGCTCTCCAACTATTTCCTTCACCTTTCCGTGGGACCGTGATACTCCTCTATTTCTTGACATTGTTCTATTTTTTGTTTCTCTTATCTTTCTTCTAACGATGTACTCCTTTATATTCTGGGATATTTTCCTTGTTTTTTTTTCTCTGATCCATAAATTTAAAGTCTTTCATCGGTTATCAACGATTTCCGTTTCTCTGTTATTCAGGTGTTGTTCTTTTATTTCTCTCACTGTTTCTTGTATGGTGGTCGGACTTTCCTCTATAGTTCCTGCATTTTAGCACCTTTATATTGAGGTTTTCACTCACCTTCAGTCGAATATTGGGATCTCTCAGTTTTCTAACATCATACTTCTACATCGACTTACTTTTAACCTTCATCATCATCATTCCTCAACCTCTTGCATCCACTGTTGGATATAGGTCTCCTCCATGTTCTTCCACTGTTCTCTAGCTTGCGCCTTCTGTATCCAATTTCCGACTGTTTTTCTCAAATCGTCCATCCATCTTTTTGGTGGTCTGCCTCGGTGTCTTTTATCTTCTCTAGGTCTCCATTCTATGAGTCTTTTGGTCCACCTATTATCATTTAAACGTGCTATATGTCCAGCCCATCTCCATTTGGCTTGTGCAATTTTTTCTATGACATCTGTCACTTTAGTCCTCTCTCACACTATCCCATTTGGTACCATATCTCTTCTAGTTATTCCCAACATTGCTCTTTCCATTTTTCTTTGGGTTACTCTCAATTTATTTGCAATGTTTGGTTAAAGTTCTTGTTTCGGAACCATATGTTATTACTGGCAGTATGCATTGGTTGTAAACCTTTTTCTTCAAGCAAATCGGTAGCGTTCCTTTTAGAATATCTCGCATCTTACCAAATGCTACCCATCCCAAGCCTATGCGACGCTGGATCTCACAAGTTTGATTGTCTTTTCCTATTCTAATTTCATGCCCTAAATAGATATAGCTAAAGACCTGATGTACTTCGTTCCCATCTACCCTCATAACATCACTTGGAACTGGAACTAAATTGGTCATGTATTTTGTTTTTTCAAAGTTTATGTTCAGGCCTATTTGTTCTATTGCCTGTTTTAGTTCTTTCATCATTTTGTGAGCTTCATTTAAACTCTCGGCTATAATGACAATATCATCTGCAAAGCGCAAGTGGCTTAAATATTCACCATCAATATTTATTCCCCTTTTAGCCCAATCTAGTTTTTTAAAGGCATATTCCAGAGCTGCAGTGAATAGTTGGGGGGAGATGGTGCCGCCCTGTCTAATTCCTCGCTCAATTCTATATTTATCGGTAAAGTCTTTCCTAAACCCAGCTTGCTATTTAGACTGATAGAAATCTAATTTTCGTTCTAAACGTTTTGTGATGATCTTGGTAAACCATTTGTAGAGATGTGACAACAGACTTATCGGTCTATAATTCTCTAGGTCTGATATATCTCCTTTTTTGAGTATTAGGGTAGTAATTGCATTGTTCCATTTTGTAGGGACAATACCTTGGTTTAGACATAGGTTGAATAGTTCAGTTACTACTTCCAGCAGTTTCTTGCCTCCTACTTTAACAGCTTCTATTACTATTTGGTCATCTCCCGGAGACTTGTTGTTTTTCATTTCCTTTAGAGTTCGTTTCACTTCTTCTATCGTTATGGTAGGCAGAAGTTCGGATCCTTGGTTCATTACTCTGCGTTCTCTAATTTGTGTTTTGTCTTCTTCTGTTAACTGGCTTTTGTATAATTCTTCATAGAAGCTTTTTGCTATCTCTACTATTCTCTCTCTATTTGTTGTTATATTACCTTCCTTGTCTTTTAGTTTAACAATTTCCTTTTTACCATCACAAAGCTTTCTTCTGAGTATTTTCATATTTCCATTTTGCTCAATCACATTTTGTATTTTCTCAGTATTTCCTCTGATCTTTACGAATTGCTTTTGAGATATCTCTGTTCAGATTTCTGAGTTCAGCTGAGTCGCCTTTCTGCTCTGATCTCTTAATTTTTTCTTTCTTTAATGAGCTTTCTGGTGTTTTCGCCTTATATATAACGCCTTTTAACCTTATATACCTCTTATTTACTAGCATGTAATCAATCTGATTTCTTACAATCCTTCCCACAGAATCCTGGAGATTTCCACGTGTACAGTTTCTTTATTAAGTTGTAGCTTAATACCAGTTGTTCATTATTACTAATTGATTTGCTTCCGCAAAAATCTCCCATGTATCTCCCCGATCGTTCCGGTTTCCTAGTCCAAATGGTCCAACTGCAGATGATGTTTTGCTGGCCCCAACTTTGGCGTTAAAGTCAATCATGAAAATTCTTAGGTCTTGCTTTTTCAACCTTTTCACGACTTGATTAATGCTATGGTATAGTTCTTCTACCTCTTCTTCGGTTCCCTCTGTTGTAGGTACATACACTTAAATTATATCGATGTCGATTAATCTTGCTTTTAGTTGTATGAGCATCACTCTTACTGAGATTGAGATGAACTTGTCAACAGATTTTGCCACTTCTTTTGTCAATACAGAACCGACACCTAATTCATGTTTGCCGTTATATGTTCCAGAATAGTAAACGCGGTGTTCCCCGATATTTGCGGTTCCTGAACCTGGCCAACGCATTTCGCTTTTTCCCACAATATTTCATGTGTGCCATTCCTTGTATTGCATTATGGATTTTACCTTTCTGTTCCATGGTTTTCACGTTGCATGTGCCTATTCTGATGTCTTTTTTGCATTTAAATCTTTTTATTATACTTGTGACTGCTCTTCCCGGAGATCCGATTGAGGAGCTTACTCCGGAATTGAATTTTGCTGCCAGCATAGCCATTTGATTCTACTAGGACTTATCCAATCCGGATCTTTAATGAGGTGTCTTGTCCCAATCATTCTTCCTCATCTCTATGACGCTGACCGCTTCCACGGTTCTTCCGCCTTTGAAGCCCAACTCTAGGACAAAGGGGTACCCTACCGTTTACTAGTTCCTCCACCTGAAGCTGTTGACCAGTAAACGGGGGATTGCTTATACCGACAATCGCTCGGTGGAATTTTCGCCATATCTGGCTACCCTCACTTAATTTAGCCTACATACCAATGCAGTTGCCCGGAGTGTGGCACGTGTAGCCATAAGTAAGAGTTAGTTGTCTCATGAGGACCAGTTATCAAGAACCATCTCCCGTCTATGACGCTCGATATGGTCGTTCCAAGAAATCCAAATTCCAAAAAATCCAGAAATACAATAATCTCCTTAGGATCTTGTATTAGTAAACGTTTGAAAGAATGGTTAAGTGGAGATTGAAAAAATGGTTAGAAAAAAATCATAAGATATCGGCCTCCCAATTTGAATTTAGGAGAGGATATTCTACTACCGAAAATAAAGGTCATTTAGAAACATGAAGGTTAGTTTTACTGAAACCAAATCAGTTACAGCTGTATTTATAGACATAGAAGGAGCATATGACAATATCAACCATAGTATTCTCTATAACAAAATGTCACTAATTGGTCTTCCTGAAGGTTTTATTAAAAAAATAATTAAGATGTATGCCAACAGAAAAATATTCCATAACATCAATAATAACCTGTTAGGACTTCAAATATCTAAAGATTGATTGCCACAAGGAGACATTAAGTCCAGTAGTGTACCATATATATACACAAGATTTGGAGAAAACACCAAAATTTTCAAAACTTTTAAAATTTGCAGATAATGTAGCACTTTATAATGATTAAACTGAAATTAATCAAGTAATCAAAAATAATCGCTGTGAACAAATGTTTAAGACTGTGTTTAGGCGCTCTAAAGTCTACCATATACAGAGTGTTTTAAAATACCAATTGCAATGAGAAGATGCAAAATAGGTGGTCAATTTTTAATAAAACTAATTCATAAAGAATCAAATATAATTGATAAAATTTATTGATTAGCAATACAAAATTTAACAAATAAATACTGGCAAAAAAGAAATCACCTTGTATTGAAGAATACTATAGACAATTGGAGATAAAGTACAAGGAAAGTATTCACCCTACATCAATAAATTTAAGTTATACTTATAATTTTAAAGAAATGAAAATATGGATAAATTTTCTTCGAGAGTATTCAAAATATCCAAAACAATAAGAAATCTAATGTTTGAAATAGATGTAAAAGAATTGATACCAAATTTATATCAAATTGTGCAATATGTGATCCACATGTTAAGTATCAAAAAATGGTAAAACACAATTTCACAAAAATATATTCAGTAGAGTTAATGGGTATACTAGAAGCCTTGAATTACTGCCGGAATCTCAATAATTCTAAGATTATTATAGTAAGTGTGAATATATATTTGAATATGCACCCTTGACGCATGCTATAGGAGCAAGTTGATATTTTCATGCACTTGTATAATGTTTATGTCATGTCATGATGATCATAGTGAGTAATTTAGTTTTTAACAGTCCCAAAAAGCACTTTATTACCAATGTTGCTCTTAGTGTGAAAATGTAAGTGCTTGTGCTTGTACCAAAGTAAAAAATAAGACTTAATTGAAACCAATTACTATGGCACACTCGTTACTAAACATATGAGTTCACCAATTGTCCAATTGTGTAGCCCAATCACAACGATCTACTTTAGTTCACATGCCAGATAAGGTACAGGCCATGAAAGGTAAACCAAAAATACCTTTAGTGCCATTCCTTTGATAACTAAAAAGACAGTTGATGTTCCATTTCACAAATAAGCATACTCCAAAGAAGAAACAAACCATTGATTTAGTAAAAGGAAAAACAAAAAAAATTAGTCAAATACCATCAAATACTGTACTGGTATGTCTTCACACCAATCTCTAATTCTTATGCCTAAAATTCTAAATAAAAATAATAATTAAGCAATACCTTAGCTAGTTTTAACTACAGACTATATATACCTACCGCTAATGAGGTAATTGGTGACAAAACTAGGGGCAGTAAGCATCCACACAATGCCTGTATCGCTGAGGCTCTTGTTTGTAAGCATATTGGACAGCCTTTTCGGTCCAGTAAAAGAGGACCTAGAACAAACTAAAAAAATTTATAATTAATGCTAATAATAATATTTGCTATGTTAGAGTGATATATTAAAAGTTTAATACTTCTGTGCCTAACTTTAATTGTGATATGACATCCCTGATATGACATCATCAATCAGCCTTAGTTTGTTCACAGCTGAACATAACCTCCCTTAGGCATGTCAAGTTGAATGCAATTCTTTTAATGTGTTGTTCTATCCTGTTCCTTTTCTCTTGTCTGTCAGAAGTCTATTATCAAGCAACTTTGTTGTTCATATGATGTCCTTCATATCTTGCAAATTGTACCATACACCTACACTTCTCTGGTTTGAACACAAAGTTCATCAGAATTTTTCCACTGATATTTTTGTGAGCATTATGGTGTCTGCTACATATCTGAAGACTGCTAAACCACTGGCTAAAAGCTTCTCTGTTTAAACAGATTGAAAGATTTTTTTGGAATACATCTCCCATTTTTCCAAATTTTGTGCACCCCAAACTTACTCTACAAGTAGTTGAGATGTTTGGTTTCCTTAAATAAATCTTACATCCTGGATTGGTTGCAAAAATGTTGCAGTTTTTCAAGTAATTCTTGTAGATTTTACATTAAGTATGTAGTTCTGAGTAATATACATAGTTTTAAAAGAGATTAAAAACCTATTTTTAAAAGATTTTATATAAATTATTAAAAAAATTGATTATACTTGTTTATGTTGCTACTTAAGGCCTATTAATTTAGCAATTATATTCACAAAAACAAACTAAACTTTATTTGACTTTAAGTACAACAAAATTATATGCTTAAAACTATATTTGTTGAACTGCGAAGAGACTGCACTTATGCACCTGTCTTTTCATTGTACTGGGAACCATTCTCCCTCGTTCTCGGGAAGATTAAAATACAGGGTGGTGAATCGTCAAACGGGCCATAGGAAACTCAATGAGAAATTCTAAATTGTTGAATTCCTGCTTCCCTAATTATTTTACACCAAAAGTCATGGGAAACTATTTGTAGAGGACTCAAATATGTATCGAAAACAATTGTTAAAATTGTTCTACGACTTAAGCGTATTCCAAAATATTAATAAAATATAATACATTTTTCAGGCCACCCCTAAAAGTCAGGCCAGACGCCGTGAAAAGAATGTGTATTACGTGTTGCGTTTTGTCATATTGACGTTTCTAATATTTGACAATATTTAAATCAACTATATTATATTTATCTATGATTTAAATGGCCAACATTTTGTGATTTATTATTTAAAAGAAAAATTAAGTTGATTAAAAAATGTACTCAGTTAAAGAGAAAAGAGCAATAATAAAAATGATTTATTCATGTTTTATTATAACATTTGTTATAGTTTTATGTTTAGAAATTATTGTATATTATTATTAGGAATAAAGATCACAGTAACAGTATATCGGAATTCATTGAATTGTTATATAACTTAACATGGAATTAAATTTTAGTGTATTAGAATATCTTACTTTAAATAAAGATCCGGTAGTGACAGGAAAAGGTTCGCGCTATTGCCTGAATACAACATTATGCGATTTTTCGTCAATTGAGTAGATTTCATTATATTTATTGATTTATTTATTGTTCACGAAGTAATATTGTTCAGTAGTAGTAGTATTTAGTAAAATTCATTGTTTATAATTTAATAATAAAATAAAAAAAATTGACAATTCAAATTGTCAAACATCTGACATCAATATGATAAAACACACAGGTTATAATATATTCTTGTATTACGTGTGGCCTAACTTTTACGGGTGGTCTGAAAAATCTATTATATTTTTGCAAAATTTTGAAGTACATTTAATTCATAGAACGGTTTTAACATTTGTTTTTAATTTAGAATTTAGTCCTCTACAAATAGTTTTTTATGACTTTTGATCTAAAATAATTAGGGAAGCAGCAATTCAACAATTTAAAATTTCCCATTGAGTTTCCTATGGCCCGTTTGACGATTCACCACCCGGTATATTCGGCATTGCCAGGTCTCATTTAAAATAAAAATGTCCAATATTTAACAATACTACTTCACTTGAAATGGAAATTTATTTTATAATTGTCATTTTTAAAGTCAACACTAAAAAATTTTCTTATACCTACTTATAGAAAAAAAAAAGAACTTATAATAAATTGTATAATATGTGCCCTCATTACCTGTTGGTGAGAAAATAAAGATATTGCAGTTGGTATGGCAGTTATTGGTAGATAGGATGACATTTGACCATAGTTGAGCAACCTGAACATTCCTCTAAAATGTTGGTTAAAATAAATTCCTGTTACCATGCTAGCAGTAGCTATCGCCATTGATCCATATTTAAACCCAAACCTAAAAATAAGTTAGTGTTACTTGTATATCATTTCAAAAATGACAGAACATAATAGTACTGATAATAGAAGTTGAAGACCAAGATCAGATAGATCACAAAACTATGAGGCTTCTTCGGTTTTAATTCTGAGAAATCATTTCATTAAAAGTAAGCATAGAATAGTTTTAAGAATACCTAGTTACGCAAAATTTTAAAATTTCAAGGCAATACCACAAATCTTATAGAGGTCTATACCTCAAAAGCCGATGGAAATCAAATTAATACATTTTATAACACTTTCAATGTTAAGGCTAAGTCGGAGAATTTGTAGAGTGGCAGGCAAAAACAGAAAATATTTTCACTATATGAAGAAACAAGTGCAACTGGTACACATATTATAAGTACAAGCAAAATTTATTGACCAGTATTATTTCTTAACAAAAAGCATCTTTTTTCATCTTAAAAATAAAGTTTCAAGAATAATTTCTTGAAAATGGTTTTTGAAAAACCTGAGAATTCCAATAAAAATTTTACCAAAAAAAGGGAGGTGACATAAATATTCAATAAATCAATCTTTTTTGAAACAGATGAAATTGTTTTAAATATTTAGTTATTTTGATGTCTAGATTCCTTTTAATACAAATAACTGGCTACTTCAGGGAGACCTATTCTCCTGTATACTATTTAATCTAGCTCTGGAAAAAGTAATACATACGTCACAAATCACAACTACCGGTTCAATATGTAACAAATATGTGCAAATCCTAGCATATGCTGGTGATATAAATATTGTTGGGAGAACGGAAAACACAGCACTAGAGGCGTATGTAGCACTAAAGGAAGCAGCTACAAAAATGGGTTTAATAATAAACATTAATATAACGAAATACATGAAAATAGGTCCGCAACCACAAATACGACGGCCACTTGTTATAGAAAACGATGTCATCGAAGCAGTTAACGAATTTGTATACCTGGGAACGCTCGTCTATACTGAAAATGACACTACCTCAGAGATAAACTGCAGAATTTGCACGGCTAATAGATGCTATTTGGGCCTTAATCTCCTTTTGAAATCTACAGTTATATCAAGAAATACAAAAGTAAAACTCTACAAAACAATAATACTCCCAGTCCTAACATATTGTTCAGAAACCTGGACTTTAACAAAGAGCAATGAAAACATGTTAGGATGTTTGGAAAGAAAAATACTGAGGCGAATCTATGGAGCTGTAAATGGCAATGGTGTCTGGAGAAGATGATACAACTTCGAACTCTATAAAATATACCAGGAACCAGATATCGTAAAACACATTAAGATAGGACGTCTGAGGTGGGTAGGCCATGTAATGCGGATGGAGCAAACAGACCCAGCTAGAAAAATGCTCCTTGATAGACCTATTGGTCAAAGAAGAAGAGGAAGACCCAGAACAAGATTCCTAGATAACATAGACCAAGATATGAGAAATATGGAAATATGTGCTTGGCGGAGGAAGGCGATGGATAGGGGCGACTGGAAGAGAACTATTGGGGAGGCATGATGATGATGATGTCAAGATTGGAAGTAGTTTTAAAAATAAAGTTTTGAAATCAAAGTAGGATCTTATTAGGTAGGTTGGAAACAAAAAACCAGTTATATTTCATAATTTATCATAAAGTTTCCCAGTAAACTGTCTAAATGACTTTTCCTTTACTTGGGATTTGTGTAGTTAATAATGTGTTAATACAATCAAGAGCTGATCTGTTTAATTGTATTATGATACCTAAGGCTTATCTTATTACCATCATTTAAAGTTTGAAGGGAATGGAGGTTTATGGACAGCAATATTGATGTTATGTTAAATTTTATCCCTGGTCGCTCCGCAGGATTCATTAAATTCATACTGGGACAACATAGGCCCTTTTGTGCAAGCAATATATCAATAATATTGCTGGATAAATCAATCAAATCCAGATCTGGTCATCTGAACAATACATGCACTTGCAGCTTATAGAAACATTAACAGTCTGTTCTTACAGTACACAATAGAGAAGATCCATTCAGAAATTTATTATTTGCAAAAGTATCATCCAACACCTGTATTCCAAAATTATTAATCACTGGAGTACTATCAAAGAATATAGACCGTCTATATTCTTTGGTACTATCTACACAAGTAAATATAAATTTTAACATAGCTTACACATCCTTCGTATTTGGCCAATTGGCCATTAATTTGGTTTGATAAATTAAAGCTTGGTCCTCTGTTAAAATAACTGCATCTTCAGGAATTTTACTGTATTTTTCCTTTTGTAATGCCATTTTATTTACACTTTTCCATTTAGCACATATTAGAGGTTAGGTAATTTTTTCTGTCATATTATGTAATGTCAAAGTCTTCTTTAATGTGTGACTTGAAGCGTTTCATCGCCAGAGTTTTTTTTGTTGTAATGTATTAAACTGACAATAAAATTTTAGTATTTAATTCAAACATGACTCACTTATTTTATTATCTAAGTATTTAAAGAACATTTAATATGGCAGATATTTATAATTTTTTTAATTGATATTACTTGCCAAACAATTCAATTGCAGTTGCTAATAATACATCTAATAACTTGTTTTTTATTGATGACATTCTGATAGCATATTAAAAACAAAATTATTTGTATTCAAAACATTGACTTTGTATATAAAGCGGAAAAATTCAATAAAAAATATATGAGTGCAAGAGTACAAAGGACAAAGAACCGCATTTGTATCCACGCGCCGAATCGGAAACACGATCGATTAAACAAGTGTTTCGTGATCAAACAGCTGCTGCCTTGTCAGAAATGCCATTTCGAGTTTGAGTTCCATGAGGTAAAAGTGAAAAGTGTGTAAGTGGAAGCAGGAAGAGAAACGGAACTTCGGGATTTTCGCAATTAGAAAAAAATTAAATTTGATGGAAAAGAAAACTCTAAAAAGCATTCCGGGTACAGCGTACAGTTCCCAAAATGGTCATTTACTGGTTTCTTCTGGAATACCGTCCCTGGATACTCTGTTAGGTGAGTTTTGTAGGTTATACGGAAATTTCTTTGTTCTTTTTTGTTCAGGAAAACGAAAATTGATTCCTGATTTTTTGTTAACTTAGTTTTTTTTTATGTAGGGTAACTCTATAGCTTTTGCTACTTGTACAGACTTGTTTAATTTTCAATTTACCGTGTAGTACCTCACTATTTAATTTGTAGGAAGGTCAGTTACATTTCTCTGTTTGAAAAGTCCTTGTTTTTTTGCAGGAGGTGGAATACCGGTTGGAACTGTGGTATTGATAGGTAAGTGCAGATGCAGTTTTAATTTAATTAATAAATTGTCGTATGCATTATTCAATTTAGACAAATAAAATAGAGATAGTAATATCACTGCTAACGAGATAAGTACTGGTAAATCCTTTTTAAATGTTGAATCATTGCGGCAGATTAAGCACTTGCGATATAACTTTCAACCCATCTAAATTGGTTATACTTAAACTACAGAACAAATGAATGCTAGTTTAATTCATCCTTAAATACTTTTCATTTCTATTAATTAATTTTGTTGTTTTTTTTTTAACTTTTTCATGGAAATCTTGTATACTTTTGTGTTTACTTTGTTCCTGATATAACTCTAAAACTATTAAATTTTTAATGTCTAGTTTTGGTATTAATGTATTCTCAAACCACTTTTCAAAAAGCCTACTTTCTATATAGTGTGATGGTACTCAAACTGCTGTTCCTTACATTCTTCGCATATAACCAGAGTGCTTCTACTCAGCCTGACACTCCACCATAATGTAACATATAAAATACATATTCTTTTTCCTTAAGATGTCATTACATTTTGAACTTCCACCAGTCCAAAATTTTTTTTACTCTTCTGCTTTCATTTTACTTAATAGCTGTGTACCCTTTCCAGGTACTGGGTATTCGGGAGGCTTTTGCTGGCATCATATTCATGTTCTGTGACCTCAAAACCTCTTTAGTAACAAAATTGTGCTCGGTTTTATTAATATTTATTGAGTTATAATTTTTTAACTTTAAATAAGGTAATCAACCAATTATTAACACTTTCAGAAACAGTTTTGACATTTTAGTATATATCAGATAACTAAATGACTATGTGCCTTCCATTTTTCAATTGAATATCCATCAAAGTGTTCCAGTATTGATTTCTTTTAATAGAAGTGTAAATTTTCCAAAAATAAAAAGGTGGGCTTAAAAAAATATGTTCTTTGAAACCAGTTATTGACATACCTATTTCAAGAAAAACCATTTGTTGTCAGTCCATCTATTGACATCTAAAATTATGACAAATTGTAGAAATACTCTTAGATTTAATAAGTATCTAAAGCTCACAAAAAACAAAATATAAGTATGTAAGTAAGGCACTGTCAAATAATATACATAAATAAAAAAATACACTGCTTAGAACATAAAATTTAAAACTTATTTAATAGAACACAGTTTCTAATTAGAACTTTTTATTCTTCAAATATATCAACAGGTAAGGAAAACTTATATTTTTGCCCCTCTCCTGTTCTCAGACTTTCTGGAATGGGAGAACCCCTAAAATACAATCTTTACATGCACATGACAACTTCACATTTGTTATAAATCTTTTGTATGACACAAACATATTGAAAAATAGTTTTATTGCATTTGCTGTGACAAAACTTAGCCAGAATATAATCTCCAAGATAAAGGCCTTCAGAATTTGTTATTCACAAAAGTCACTTTCACCAAAAATTCTATGTCATCTAAACTTTGGTCACTTTCTTCATAGTATTCTTCTTCGGAACTTTCACGAACTAAGTTTTTTGCCATTTTTTCTTTTAGTATGAACCTCTTTTCCTCTTTTCTTTTCTTCGAACCATCCTTGCTTCCTTCTCTTTTAATTTATATTTCTTCTCAAAACCTTTTTTTTTGTATAATAGTTCATCCAAATATCTGAGGTAATGACTGATAAGATCTTTTCATTTATCTTCCATTTTTTTGTAGAAGATTTGGGATCCAGCCAGAACAAGGCCTTTTTAACGGAGTTATGGTGGATATTGATGAGGGCTAGTAACTTGATCAACTCTTTGGGCTTCTCTATTTTCCTTATTGTCTTTCTGTGACACTTCAGCATTAATGTGTTCAGCTGCTGCGATTTTTTGCACCAAAACTTCTGTTGTTGCCACACTGGTGGAACTCCACTCTTCTGCTCAAACTTCAGCTTCATCATGTTGACCATCTCGTCTTGTCGTCGAAGTATTTTCTTTGACAAGGCTTTTCCATATTTTGTAAAGGTTCACTAGGAAACTAAGTTCCTATAGCTGGCTGTATACCATATATCACAAAAAATTTATTTCAAATCCTTTATAAAAGGTATATAATAAAATGCCCAAACGGGCTATCACAAATATATTACAAAACGTTTTTGGATTGTTAAATCCATCATCAGTGTAAACGAGGTATACATGCTATGAGCTACCAAAATATGTGGGTCAAAACCCTTTAAATGATATAAATTTACAGTTGTTTTACATTATATGTGGTTACAAATAATGTTGTTTAAGTTACCGTTGGAATTGGTAACATGGCGACATATGACCCTACATAGGTAAAATGGTCCTGAGACGAAGTGTCTTCGAGACCTCTTGATAACAACTAGTTTTTTTTTGTAAAGGTTTACATCTTCACGTGTACCTTCCCAGTTTAAATCTTCTGTTAAACACTTTTTGTGTTGCGTTAACTTGTTAGGTGCAATTTTTTCTTCAAGACCTTTCAGTACATTCTTAGGAGAAATGTGGAGTTTCTTCGATTGGTGAACAGGAAGAGTGTGTTAAGAAATTTTTTCAAAGTGATCATTTTTCACTTTAAACGGCAGCACCGTAAGCACGAAAACCATTCATAATCGTTTCTTGGCTAATATGAGATAACACTTTGTCAAAAATTTTTGCGAAATTTTGTTTTTGAACTCTTCTGTTTGAATTTTCAACCTTCCAAGTTTGCACCTCATTTTTGTAGCCAAGCGTGAGCGGTCTAAAAACTGCAATATCTAGTGGACGGAGAAGATGTGTAGAATTTGGCTATAAAGCCACTAATTCTATACCATTACTAGCACATAAATTAGACAAATTTAAAGTTAAATGAGATGAATGGCCATCTAAGAAAAGAACGACTGGTTTTTTCTTCAAGCCATGGGTTAAATACATTACATAAGACAGTTTTACATTATGCTATTTTCATGCTAGGCAAGAGGCAAGACAGATCATGGAACTGCGCATGCCCACGGGCTATTTCCATGCAATTCCTGTGCTATACTGCGTTCCACGTTTAGAAAATAACATTGCGGAGATAGGCCCATGTATTTCTTATGGACGATAGCAACGCGGCGTTGCCACGACACACACAAGCACAATTTAGGGTTGTATAATTTGTATTTTTGTTTCCACAAACATCAATTAAATTAATGTTTTTTAACGTAATTGACCAAAAGTGCCCATTCGAAACAAGAGATGAAAAGTAGGGAAAATGATTTTAATTAGATAAATAGTATTTACAAAAGGTAATTTTATTTTATCTTATTTTAATTATAGTAACGACGGTTTATTTGTTTTTCGGTGAGAATACGATATGCCATGAATCATAGAAATCAGTAGAAAATATTGACCGCTTGGAATGCGTATATCTAATTACTAATTGCAACTTAAAATAATACGATGTGCGTATGTCAGCTATTTTATGTCGTTCTCTGACTACATAATGATAATAAGACTTTTATTTAGTAGTTATTCTGACTTTACAGTTAAGTGTTAATTAAAAATGAAAATTCAAAAATTAAGCAAAGGGAATATCTTGGACATCCGTGCAAAAGAGAGTGTCTGAGAGTTTTGGCAACACTGATCTCCATAAGCGTAATGTTATTTTCTTAACTTGAAACAAAGAATAGACGAAAAATTAGAACATGTTCTATTTTTCATGCTATTTTCTTGCAATTTATCGTTAAAATTCATGTTGCCAACATAATAATTTATAATAGATTACAGAATAAAACATAACCTTATCTCTATCTTTAGCGTCCCTTAGCCCACGTGTGTATTGTTGTGTTTTGATTTAAATTAAGTTTATTAAGTGGTGATAAATAGATATACTATGTCTAAAGTTAATGTAAAAACGACTGGGTCAGTCGTTGACTATGGATGATTGTTGCTACAACAGCAATATTCAACAATACCAATGTTTTCTTTTCTTTGGTTCACATCCTTCACCCTTTTAATAACCATAAATAGTGTATATTTATTTATTATATTATTTATTTTAGTACTTAATTATATTTATTTAAAATAAAATAACCTCAAATTGATAAATATTTTCTCTGTTGGCAACAATGAAAGTGGGATCTAAAATTGCACAGAAATATCTCTGATGTAAAAAGGTCAAGCTAGGCAAGAGATGTGCCATGCAAGACGGACTTGCATAGCATGAGACTTGCATAGCATAGATGTAAAGCTGCCTATATAAATTTGTAAAATGTAGCGGCAGACATCCAACCATTTTCTGAGGTTCCTATAGCCTAACTAGATGGCATACTTGCAGCTATGTATCCCGGTATTCTGGTATAAGAAAACACTACCATAGGGGGAGCTATTTTTCCTGCTGGACTCGTGGTGACCAATACTGTGAGGTTTTCTTTCTCGTCGCCTCCAAATTTATAAACACTTTTTTCTCCTCTACTAACCAAAACTTTATCGGATTTTGGAGCCAGATAAAAGGCACTCTCGTCCGTATTGAATACTCTAGTTGGGTCGCTTGTAATGTGAAACAAGTTTTTAGAAATCAAATAATCTCTTATTTCACTAAACCAGTTTCTAAGCTGGTACCATTTGTCACTGAACCGGTTATCATTTTCGAAGGTTTTAAACTGTTTCGATTCTTTCATAATTTGTTGTACCGACTCAAGCAACTGCGTCTTTGTGACAGGAAAATGTCTTTCAGATAGTGTTAATATCCACCGAATTAAAATTGACTCCTCTTCTGAAGTAAGTATAGTTGCAGGCCCTGGAGAGCAAAATAATGGCGACTTCCCTTCTCTTTTATGAATTAGCGTACTTCTGGGTACGCTGTATTTTTTAGCGGCTGTTGCTGTAGGAACTCATTGCTTTACTGCCTTCAAGGCTTGTGCCATATTTTCGGGGGCATAAGCCTTTCTCGGCGCCATTTCTGAAAAAAATACAAAATACAGACTTACATCCAATTATTGGCACAACGTTTCCAATTATTTACACCCGGTGTCAAGAATTGGTTGCATTTAG